GAATTTTGTTTTCTGCCAAGGAAACTCAAAGCAAACAGCTTGCCTAGCCTTGCATCTTACCTCTGTCAAGGCAACACTTGGATTAACATTCAGATTCGTCTTTCAGCATGAGCCATGAAGTAAAACATTCCGTTTATTACACACAGCCTATAAATTGAAGCTGAATCAGAATTAAAACTGTGAGGAAGTCCAAGCCTTCCGCATGACAAAACATAACTGAACAGAAAAGGGCAACAAATTTTACAGCAGCTGGAAATGCTAGATTTAATTATCGAAGAGAAATCATGCAGAGAAGTTAGCTGCCTAGCATGATTTATAACAAACGCAAAGGGAAAGTCACGTGAAACTCTTAGTTAATCAAGAAACAGCCAATCACAAGAATGCCAGCATTTTATATTTCTGTGGATGACGAGAATTTGAAAAAATAAGACCAAAATTTCAACAAAATGACACCACCCAATCTTTAAAAAAAAGACACCTGGATGAGCCAGGTCAGCCTGTAAATGACAGCAGCAGTTACATTTTACTGGAAAATGACCAAAGTGCCTGTTTTCCTCACTGACTCAGAAGGAAGAATCCTTGTCCATCCTTGCTAGAAAGCTTTCCAAAAATTATTGTGTTGCACTGTCCATTGTTCCTCTCCATACACTCATGATTTGCAGCATTCTGAATGGTTCTGTGTTTTAACTTTTCCCTTATTTTACTATTTCTTCATGTGAATCTTCCAGGTAAAGCTCCCCCCAACCTCCACTGCTGGAAGAATATTCATCAAAAATACTTTACACAAGCAGTGAGATATGGTGTGGGAAAATGACTGGGGGGAAATGAGTTCCTCTAAAGTAATGTCCTAACAGAAGTGATAATGCTATAAGAAAATCTTTAGGGTAAGGTAAAACAGAGTTGCTACTTTCTGGGACAAAGCTCATTATAATGTCATTGTAATATCAAAATACAACTCCATCCCAAAGTTACCCGCCTCGACAGAGTTGCTACTTTCTGGGACAAAGGTGGCAGTTACTGTGCCAGTGACTGGGGTGAAATTGCTCTCCTGAGATGAACCATGCTCATTATAATGTCATTGTAATATCAATATACACCTCCATCCCAAAGTTACCCGCCTCCAAGGCACGACCACTCCCCACTGAGCATGTGCTCTCTATTTTATTAACTAAAGAGTGAAGTGAGACAATTTTACAGCCATCGGTAATAAAGGCATGAATGACCAGAGCCACTCAAGCTCCACCTAAATACAAAGAAATAGTATAAAAATAAGTTGACAAGGGGAGAAAGTTAGGGAAGACTCCTTCGCAACTTATGGGATCAGCCGATGAGCTGAAGCTGTCTTCTCCCCCATAGGGACGCCTATTGGGCAAGAACCTCTTTTCATGCGCATTGAATAATCAATTTACGCCAGCAGTTACCAAAGTCTGATTATATATTGTTCTTGCAGTCAGTCTACTATCAACGGCAATCTCTGAACCTGATACTGTCCCGATCTGTATTTGATACAAGAGAATTTGCTTTGCATAAGTTTCCGGAAACTTGAATAACTGTACTAAGGGATCTGACTCAGTGCCACTGTCAGTGCGGGTCCCTGAACAGGTCAGTTGAATCGTCCTCGACACAGTGGGCTGGTTGGTAGGGTCCCCACGTGGGACGCCAGCAGGCTGTATGGGCACAAGGGCCTCGTTTTTTTTGCAAAGCTGCCAGGTTGATTGAATAGAAAGGGTTCGAGGGAACCCCCGCTTCTTCACGTGACATATGGTATCACAGATTTTGGTCAGAATGCATTAGTGCCATCCCACAGCACACTAAAACTTCCCTAGAAAGATGGAACACTGATGGCTGAACAGGCCAGGCCTGAAACACTGGCAGGTTTACACACCGAGAACTCCATGAATATGTATATTCGCACACAAATACCTGAAGAGATTTATATAAAACAGGATGCATATCCACGGCAATGGGCACTCCTGGAATAAATTATAAAATAGAGTCAATTAGAGCACAGCATTCCCTCCCCCTCCTCACACCCAAATCCAATTATTCCTCTGGGCCAGACCCCGCGGCCGTATGCACACACAACGTCAGGCGCTGTGCAAATCACCACGTTCTTCAAGGTCGCTTCTAGAAAGCGGTCTAGGCGGTAGGATGAAACGAGTTGTTGGAACTCAGGCGTAAAGAGGTTCCTCTGCAGGATTTTCAGCTCTACCAAAAACTCTGGTTGAGATTTTGAAAAATGACTGAGATCTGTGCATGTAAATCCCAGGGACACTGGGCAAAACGGAAGGTGATAAGGGTTATAAGTTATGTTAGGAATGCTCCTATTTCCACATTCACTGTAAAAATGTGCGCTTCACTGCCAGCTCACGAGAGAAATGAGGGGAATACTGCTTCACCGGGCTGCTCTGAGGCTCAATCACGTCGTAAAACGGGTGAGCATGTCTCAGGTCTCCCTGTGGCCTCCCCATATGTCTCCATTCATAGATGTAACTACTCATAGAGGGAGCTGTGAAAACACAGGTGAGGAAAGGATCAGAAAAAAAAGGAAATAAAAAGGTTGACCTTTGACTGTATTCAGCCATAGAAAAACCTCTCACAACCAATCCTTCACCTCCAAAGCAATTTTTTTTTCTGTCTTTTTCACGATACCAGCTGTGCTGGTTGGGGCTGGGGTAGGGTTAATTTTCTTCATAGGAGCTAGTACGGGGCTGTGTTTTGGATTTGTGCTGGAAGCAGTGTTGATGACACAGGGGTGTTTCAGTTACAGCAGAGCAGGGCTCACACACAGTCGGGGCTTTGCTGCTTCTCACCCACCCCACCAGTGAGGAGGCTGGGGGGGGGGCAGGGAGTTGGGAGGGGGCACAGCTGGGACAGCTGACCCCAGCTGACCAAAGGGGGATATTACATACCATATGATTTCTTGCTCAGGGGAAAGAGGAGGAAGGGGAATGTTTGGAGCGATGACGTTTGTCTTCCCAAGTAACCATTACATTACAGAAGAATGGCAAGTCTTCCATAGCCCTGAGCACCACTTTGAAAGGAGGAACACCATGGATGGAAAGGACCATTGTGCTAAAACAAGTCAAGCACGCTTGAGAGGAACATGCGAAAACCAGACCCTGCCATGGATGGACAGAACACAGGACACAGGACTTTGACTCTTGACGTGATACCTGCAGATTTGAATGACTGTGACTAACATTTCCCCCTTCCACAAAAGAAACATAATGCTGACGAAGTCTGCCACAGACATCAGTAACGTTAATGAGACACCAGGTTTGTTATTCAAGCATTTGGTAGAATCCAACAGTTGTATATCCTCAATTTGCACACTTGCAGATGTGATGCTAGATCTAAGTTTTTCCAACACAATAACGAAACTCAACTTGATAAACAGACTGCTCTTATTTTAGCACACTAGTTTCTGTTTAAGTTCAACCTGATGAGTTAAACCCCTTGAGCCATCATTCTGAGATAGCACAGATCCAAAACAGCATCAGCTTAAAAAAGTATCAGCCAACTCTTATCCTACAGATTTGTCCCAGCAAAACTCAGAGCTATGTTAAAAAAAAAAATGTAAGTTGATGCTGAGTGTAAATTTCTTCCAGACATCATAAAAACGTGTCTTGAGAGTGAAATAAGACTAACAGTGAAGTTGTCACTGAACAACTATATTAATAGATAGTTCAAATTTACATGACAGGACCCCTTACTTCACTCAGATTTCCCACATACACGCACACTTTTGCAAGCAGTTTGCATCCGAAGGAAAAAAAAAAAAATAAGCAGGCTGTTGATCTAATCAATAACGCCATGTCGTGCATGGAGCTTCTGCATAAATCCAGAGCAAAAGGTGTCAAGCACGTCCCACTCCAATGATTATCAGGCAACGAAGTAAAATGATGCACTTTTCATCTCCACAGGACTGTCGCCAAACCCTTGATGTAATAAATGAAACATGCCTGCTATTTCACCACTGCAAAATGGTACTGGAGATATCTTACAACATCTCTGTTTGCAGGAGGGGGTAACTAGCTCTAGATGAAGTGCAGATATGTTATTAAACAACACACAGCTTGAATCCCGGGGCCAACACAGATGACCTTTAGAACATAAGCACTGTCTAAGACAAATATGCTTTCATCTTTGGGGAGTATTTTTTCAAGTAAAGATTTAAGAGAAAAACAGTTTAGAAATACGTTAAACACAAATGTGCCTTCAATCTCTTAATGTTTCATTTTAAAAACAAAACCACAAGTAGTATCATATGTCAGAAGAAAGACTAAGTACTCTTTAAGCAGAATATCAGTGAATTCAGTGAGATTTAGCTTTGTTTTCATTTGAACAACCCAACAATTAAAGCAGAGAGAAAGGAGATACGTGATGTAACTGAGGTCCAAAATTGGAGGTATGACTACAGTGATTCAGAAAAAAAGGCTTGTGTTTTTATTACGAGTCTATAAAAACAAAGACCAGTATTTCACTTTAGAACCCCTTAAGCGGGATGAAAACAAAAACATAACAAAACCACACTGAGGCATGTAGAACATAAGGAAAATGGTTTTAGAGATGGATTAAGTGAAATAGCAAACAGTATAAAAAGAAAAAAAGTGATTTCTAGTTTTGCACTTAACAGGCTGTTACCATTTATCTTCAGTAAGGTTCGCTTTTTTTTTTCCCCCAGAGTTGTATCTTGACTGTGATGCTAATACAGTGATATTTGCTTCATGGAAAAGAAGAACATTGGTATGACAAAATTCCTTCCCCCACAAATTATGGTTCACAGATTCTGACAAGTTCCGAGCTGCTCTGTGCAGCCTGTTTTTCCATCAAAGTCAGTGGCAAACTATCAAAAAACCCTACAACTGCGAAGCAGCTTCCAGGATGGAAGCTCCTGTGCCTGAAAAGCCCTTATCACAAATAGGAATCCTCACACCCAAGGGGTTTGTTATGTTTTGGTGTGATTTTTGTTTTGTTTTTTAAAAAAGATTTCTTACCTCAAATTCGGCATGGCGGTTAATATCCTCTGCTCTCTGCCTGCTCAAGATAAATTCTGCTTCATTAGCCACTCTCACCAAATGGTCCTTCATGGTTTGACTCAGCAACCTGAGGACAGAGAATATTTAAGAACTGCCTTGAGAGAATGAAGTCCTAAAATAAACATCTGTAAACACAGTATATATGCAAATATTTTGAGCTCTGTTCCATAACTGAATTTACTGTGTCAAGAAAATGGTATAAATAAGGTTGAAGGGTAATTTTCTGGCACCTAGTAAAATTGTATTTCACTAGTAAACCAAACTAAGTATTAAATAAAATGTAAACACTCTATAGACAGTCATTTGTTTTACCTGAAATATAGATGCATAAGAAAATCTTCCACAAACACAAAACACATGTTAAAGTAAGCAGTTTATGCATATAAACATCCACCGTGAAAGCCCTAATGCAACTGATGTAAAGTCTAAATTAAAAATTGTGAATTGCATTGCAGCATGGGTTTTTTTTCCTCCAAATGCAAAATTGGATTTTTATGTAAGTATACATTTAAGTAATACTCTCAGGATTATAAGAGATCCTCATTCTCACAAATGAAATGCTGAGATATACATTGTTCCAGGTTATGTACAGAATCAAGCTGTAATTCAAGCTGAGATTTCAGAGACCTTCATAAACCCCGAGTTTATGAATGGCAGCAGAGCTGACAGACTGAATTACAACCCAATTATTCTGTGAGTTCACATATTGTTACTAAAAACATTTCCTTTTTAATTAGTTACATTGGGATTCATAAAGGTAAAACCGCCTGTGCGGGAGCGACACTGTTCTAGAAGGTGCACATTTCCACAGGATCACTCAGAGATACACCAGATAAATCCATTACATGCTCTGCCAGTTAGTTTTTAAAAATGTCTGTTATTAAAGCTTTTTTTTTTCTTTAAGGTTTTCAGTTATAATGTAGAGAGGAGCAGCAGAACAAAAAATCCCTCCTTTGCCTTACACATATAAGCTAAAGTACATTTCAACAGGCTCAGAGTCTGCATAATGTAGAGAGGAGCAGCAGAACAAAAAAATCCCTTCTTTGCCTTACACATATAAGCTAAAGTACGTTTCAACACGCTCAGAGTCTGCGGAGACCCTTTCTTTACCAACAGAGGATGTATCACGCAGGATGCCTTCTCATGTATACGGTGTTAATTTTATCCCCAAAAACTTATCTATCTGAACTCAGGCTCCACCTGCCTCTCTCTGTGTTTGATAGTATGACCCCCAACGCTTCGCTGTCTCTTTTCCTGTGCTGTTCACAATTCCACACTCGGAGTAGGTCACAAGCCTGCTCCAACAAGAAGAAATCCAGGAGCAGAACAACAGTTCATCACTTCTCGCACTACAAGGCTAGGAAAACCGCAGCACAAGAGCTAAACAGACCAGATAAGCCAGTGGATTATTGTCTCCCCACAGATGAAGTCTTGAAAAAAGAAATAAACACAATTCATTATTTGAAATACGACTTCACCTTCTGTTTGAGGAAGTTGGACAAGCCACCGTTTTAGAACTGTACTTCAGGTTTTTTTCATTCTTTCTACTTTTAGAATGGAAGTGGCTGTTGATCAGCAAACACCCAATTTGGCTAATTTATCTCATGCGTTAACGGCAAACTTTTACTTTCAAAAACTTGAAGAACCAACATTGCTGTAATGATGCAACTTCAATTTCATGGCTTCAAAAAAATTGGGAAAATAAATTAGTTAGGAAAGCATTGCTCATACACTGAAAAAAAGAAACCCCAAACCCCTGCCTGTAATAATTTACAATAACGTTCAGCTAAAAGTAAATCCCTACTAATAAACCACCAGCAAGCAACTCTGCATAACCAATTTCATAGTCTGGGCAGATTCCAAGCATTTGATTCTCTTTCTCCAGTAGCACATTCAACTCTGTCACATAAGCATTTAAATAAACTTTTTTTTTTTAAATTAAACTAAAAAAATATGGTGACCATAAATACTCATGTATTACAATAGCATGTATGGCGACTGACATCTAACACAGCTGGAGAGCATCCCATTACCTTCACCGAGTTTGTCAATACCAACGCCTTCTGCTAATCTGATCAGACTTTGAAAAATACTAGTTATCCTCTACAAGTCCCATCTTTTTTAATCTGTTCAAGAAAGTACCCTATGTAATGACAGTTTTAATGATTTACAACATGGATTTTCCTTTTTATCTGCTAACCGTAACCCATAAGCAGCCCAGTATACGACCAACTGCACACTGGCACCTACTCTGCATTTGCAGAGGTGATGGATGTGTTCCAAACAAAGCAAAGAACTACATTCCCTCACATAGGAATAACACTCTCAAACCAGACTAGAAGTGTACCTAGTAAAAACAAATAGCTTTGGAGTATCAGAAAGAGCTTTATCTCCTATGGATCAGCTGTCACTTTTGTCACCCCCACCTCTCCTCACTACTCCCACACACTTTCCCTGTTTTTTCTATGATATTCCATATGGGGCTCAGCCACCTAGATAAAACGCATGATTTTGCAGTTGAATCTGAAAAATTCTTAATATTAACAACCAAGGAATTGTACAAGCTTAGCATAAGCACCTACTGGTAACTTCAAGCTGTTTTCAGAAACAGGTGAAAGCTGCATAGGTTAGGTATCAATTAGTATACAATTACCTCCCTTCTTCCAAATTGACCAATTTGGCAACTAAAGGTCTTCAGAAGGTGAGGATAAAAATTCTTTACTAATACAAATGAAGCCTATATGAAATAATTTACTGGATTATACCATATAACAGCTGTGTTCATTCTTTACATTCAAGAACTTAAAATTTTAATCTTTCTTTTCAGTCGCCTTTTCCAAGCACTACATATACTTCCATGAACTTTCTTCTACTAAACAATTCCAATTGTACAGTTATCTAGGGCAGCTGGGATTTTCTCTGTGAGAACAGTCTCTACATACATAGCATGTCACTCAGATTTCTATTTTGAATTTACCTCTTAGTGTCAAACTCAGCAACCTAAATATTCATCTATACATCAATGTAATTATGGCATCATATAACAGAGGAGTCTATAGCCATCATTAAAAAAAAAACATCAAAGGCAAAACCAAGCTCTCAGCATCTCTATAAATGAACACACCTCTGCTTATATGTCTAAAATCAAATTTTCATCATCTACTTCTAAACACTAACTTTAGGAACCTTGGCAGCTGCTCCTTTTCCATTTGAGGCAAACAAAATGCTGAACAGAAATGTGTTAAGTGTAGCCCTCTGCTTGCAACAGAAACAACTGTCTCCAGCTGAGACACGAGTGCTGAGGCGAGGACAAGAGTCCGACTGTTGCAAGAGCATTAGTTCAACTCCAAACTACATAAAACACATTCTCTACATATGTGAGTGGCTACAAACCGTATTAACTACATCAGGTAACTTGATGAGACAAACGCTTTATTCTACAGAAAAAAAAAAAAAAAAAAAGTTTAGGAAAATCTGATTTTCCTCACTAAGGCAGTAAGTACACTTCAGGGATTGAAAGGATCATGGTGGTCCTTTCTGGTACCTACTCTATCCTCCAGTAGAACTGATCACACAGGTTTTCCCCAAAATCATTTCACTTCTCCATCATGTCTGTACCTTCGGTTTGAGCTACAGTGTATCTTTCAGGAACTTGCCCCAACTTTTTTTTTTTATATATATTTGAAGATATTGTACACCATGTCACCCTAGAAAGACATTTTATAATAAGGTAAAATTACTGTCAAAAAAAAAAATCAAACTTTTGTTGGTTTTGTCCTGCTTTCTTTTATCCTGTTTTTTATTCCAGCAAGCAGCTCACGTTAGTCCTTTTTCTGTTAAATACAAAGTCTATCCAAAACATCTCTTTATCAATACTTCTTTTCCACAGCAAATTGACAGTTTTTCATAGTTTTGATTAAATGGATGATTTTTTTTTTTTTTAAATACGCACAGCTAAGCTGAAAGAAAAACCAAGTCTAATAATTTCCTTCTTGCCTGTGCTCCTAATCTCTGTATGCAGACCCACGGACCATGTTTGCCACATACCTTTTTATTTTTTTTCAACGTTATTAAACAGCAAAATGCTGTTGAATGTGATGATTTACACTCCTCCTTCCCTGACAGATTCCCTTCTGGTTTGGCTTTATTTATGACCAGTTACTGAATTAACATTTTTTCTGATCTTTCACATGAGAAGAGTGTAGATGGACATGGTCTGTAGTAGTTACACCATAATACTTATGGGAGTAAAGACTCCGGATCCCAGGTCTGCTCTTCTCCTTTCATTGCACACCAGATTCAAGGTCTCAAATAGACTCTTCTTCCTTTGTCTAAGCACTTTCTTTCCGGACTAAAATATGTAAAAACATGTGATTAACTTTGAAAAGATGAACAGCCTAGTAAAAACAAGCAGTGGGACAGATCCCATGCTGGAAGTTAAATATATACTTGCATACTTTGCTGGGTCAGGAATGACGTGCTAAACCACTGAGAGATGGAGTTCCAGCCAAATACATGAGAAATTCTGATTTTTACTGTTTTGCTGGAAGAGAAAACTATGAGACACAAAGCAAGAAATATTAGTCTGATTTTCTGGCTGCTCAATGCTTAGATGATCAAATAAAAAGTCAAGTTTCTCCTTACAAGAAGCAAAAGGCAAGGTACAAGAGGGAAAAAAATGGAACAGAAAAATATGTGCAAAGACAGACAGAGATGGATAAATTCTGGGTTAGTATTACTCATGTCCAACAATTATCAATTTTAGTCAAAATATGGCAAAAGCTTTACAGGTGACATGAACAAGAGCTGTTCAGGCATAAATCTCTCAAAGGGAGAGATTATGGATGTTCCAGACGCTACCACCACAAGAAAGGCGGATGAAGGTAAGCTTTCCTACTCGCACTCCTCACAAACCTAGCGTATAAGAGATCCTCCTGCTTCAAAAGGAGCAGCGTTCTACATGGACACATGCTGTCATTTGCAGGATCTGACTGCTCCATGTGCTAAACCACAAACCCAGAAACAGCGCAGGTTCACCAAAATGCTGTCCTGGGCATGGAATAGCAT